TAGATCCCTGCAGATGAGATACAGGGAGCTGTGAAGTACATTTTTGCATCCCTACTTTCTACCAGATATTCTTTTTGGCCAAGCTGAGTGGTGGAAGGGGAAGGACAGTCCTCTTCTTGGCACACAGTTTTCTCAGAAGTTACAGGGCTTCCATTATATCAAATTCCTTCATATCTCCTAAATAAATCTTTGCTGAACATAAAAACCTTTCCTGAGTGTAAAAACTGGTGCATTGCAGATTCTTCCATTGAGCAGGTCACAAACAATCCATTTTGTTCCAATACAAGCTGTCTCCCTCTCCCCACCTCTAAAACTAGTAACCCTTTCCAGGTATTTATCTTAGCTGTTACTGCACAAGGATCTTAATTATGTGGTGAGCACAGAGTAAATATATTTTTTCTTTCATCACAAACACTCATTCCAGCTGGAATATACAGAAAGCAAAGCTCAGCTTTGATAGTTTTAGTTGTAAACAACTTTGTCTTAGAAAAAGAAGTTATTAAAATCACCCCAGGAATCTTTTTGGCTCTTTTCTGCTCTCTCCTGCCAGGTTTTTACCTGAAGGAAGAGCATGGGCTGGGTATTGGAGCAATCCTCCCCAGGCAGGAGGGCTCAGCAGAGACTTGCAGGAGCTGTTCTAAGAGGCACACAGCATGCAGCAGTGAAACCAGATGCTGCTTAACTCATCCTCTGATGCTCACTCCAATCCCAAAGCCTCTGATTTTTAGGAGAGTAGAGAGGCAGGATTTCTGCCCAGTTAACTGCTCACCTGGTAGCAATGCAATTTAGGTCTGGCATCAAAACAGATCAGAGCTTCATTCTCAATGCTAGTGACTTGGGGTGAGGACAAAACCAAAATTTGCAAGGGGCACCTTCATCTCTGACGTCCTTTCAGCAACCCTTTTTCAAGAGATGCATATTCAGACTGAGAAAAAGCAGGGTTAACTTGTTTCAACAAGTGAAACAGTATTTTTTTTCTTCTTGGATGATTTCACCTCCAAATATAAAAAGATTTATTTGCATCACTACTAGCTTTTCCAAGCATCAGAGAATCTCAAAAACTCTCACTGATGATGCTCTTTCCTAATACTTGAAAATTTAAAAAAACAACAGCAACAAAACCAGACCCCAAAACCTTTCCTCACTTTCAATTCCTCCTGATATTTTCACGTATTCAGGCAAAAAAAATCTCTTATTAATGCCACAAAGCTGCCAGAATCCAAACTTTTGCTGTGTAGTCTCCTTAACAACTCTCATTTAGAGTGAGCAGGTGGCAAGAAGGAAGCAGAGCAAGAAAGAAGACAATTATTTTGGGAAAGGAAGTGGTAACTGCTACTAGCCTGTCAAACAGCATGAATGGTGAAAATCTGAATCATGCTTTTACTGTATGAATGGGCTAATTCCAACACACTGCTATAAACAACAATCCTCTAAAAGGAAGTAATCTCCCTAACAGGAAAAAATACACCTGTTAGAAAAAGAGCAGGATCTGAAGCAGAAATCAGGCAAAACAGAGACGGGCCAGCTTGAGTTCCTCTTCCTGTGACATTTAGGTGCTGGTCTCCAGGGCCTGCATCACACTTTGTGACAGAATTACCCCATTGCAAATAACACTTGAAAGAAGGTTAGAGGCTGTCAAGCTGGAGTTAGGAAGAAATTACAGCTCCATTTTTAGCTTTCTTGAATGGAGGCTCCTCTGAGTAAGTGCTGCCAAGATGAAATCCTAGCAAGCAAATGACATATTTAGAGTGTGCCTGTTCACTCACAGAGGTATTACTACAACGACAGGGATTATGCACCAAGGAAATTTCAGGGCATATATTTAATGGATGGCTTGCTGACACCACTCAGGCTACAGTGTATCTTCCAGACAGGAATTAAAAATCTCAGCATTAGCAACAACCTCTCCCCTGGCCTGCAAGCAGAGGGCAAGCTTCTAAGCTAGCTGCAGATGCTGAGTGCCTCCGGAGTTAGAGTTTTTAAATGATCTTATTAGTTTTCAGTGTTTAAACAAGTCACTTTCTATCTTGTGCTTTTTTTCCTGTGCTGCCTCTCTGGCCCTCGTTTGAGGGTGACCACAGTGGTTTGTGCTGCTCAGAAGGGATGGCTCAGCTGCTCCTCTGGCAGCTGCTGAACCATCACAAATTACAGCTTGCTGTACAGAAGTATGTGGAAATTGGTGTCTATCTTAGTACAAGGGACTGTAACCACAGTGGTGCAGCAGCTGCCTCCCAAACAGCTGAACCAACCCTGCAGCAAGGGGGAAAATGAAAGACACTGAGAGAGTGACTTCAGCAGCCCTTGGGTGAAGCACACTTGACTGAGTGCTGAACTTTGGGGAGCTACACATTTCTTGCTTCCATTTCTCAGATGTAACGTGGGTAGTTTGTCTCCCACACACTTCCTAGGAATGGTGCCACACGGATGTGTGCATAATTCTGTAAAGAATGCCACAGAAATCTGCAGAATGGGTGCTACAGCTGATGATGCAAAGCCCTTGAATAACACACACTGTTCCACTTGCTCCAGTAACAAAAAGACTCTCATATGAGTTATAACTTTATTGCTACCAATGAAAAAGAGCCCCATCACCTTATCCCTCCTTTTTGATTTTCAAGAAATAAATCTATTAATTAGTAAATCACAAGAGAGCAAATGCCTTCACCTCTGCACTAGAGCCAATCCTAAGGAGCTCTTGTGCAAGGAGTAATTTCAGATATCACTGTCAGATGCACGGCCTGCAGTTACCATGTTATCCACATGCTTCCCTGGGACAAGCTTGATATTCTTATCAGCTCTGCATAGCAATTTCTCTACCAGATACTGTAACTGCCTCTGCTGTGCCTTTCAGCTTTTGGTGTCCATTCCAAAGCTATTTTAGTGCAGTTGTTATCTGTACTGCTTGTGATAGGTCCTGGCTGCCACCATCTGCTTCTTTCTCTGTATAAAGATGTGCAATGGTTCCCTTCACTAATGTGTCCTCTGGCTCAACATCTTGACATAAAGCTATTCCCACTGCTTGCTATCAACCCACTTTTTTCATTAGCAGGAATTCTGTAATCATGACAAGAGACATTTTTAACCAGGATGTGAGAACAAAGGGACTACCTAGGGCACTGCAGTCTGAGATTATATATGACCTTCCCCCCACTCTCATCCATACTCACAGAAAGGGCATTGCTCAATTTTCCCCTTCCCATTGCATGCCCAGTTCCTTTACCCACACACTCTGTGACATCTGTATTCACCACAGTTGTAGCTCTCACATGTATCTTGTACTTTTAATATATTCTTGTCAGGCATATATCAAATAACACACTACAAGATGCCACTTGCATCTAAAACTAAAGCAAGATACACAGCAAGGCAGATACCAAATAGCAGAGTCATCCATTCTCTGTGGCCTTCAGGAAAATCAAGAATGTTACAAGGTTCCATATAAAAACATAACACTGGGGTTTCCAGCTATTGAGATACTCAGAGAAGTCTAGAAAATCCACTCATTTTTGCACATGGTATAGAAGAAGAAGGAATTTAAATCTTAAATTTTTAAAGGTCTTTCTAGCTTGTGAAGCTATAAATCATATTCACTGCCTAGTGCAGACTGGCTGCAATACAATTCTTTATTCCCCTCACTAGCCATATACCTGGAGTAAGTATTTTGCCTACAACCCTATGTAAAGATGATTAATACCAGGTTTAGTTCCAAACAAGAATGAACATTTAATCATCTAGCAAAACAAAATGATTACTTAGAGGTATATTTAAAACTCCACAAACAAATCAGATGAGGGCACTTTTCATGTCACTCATCTCAAAGTATTTTGCAGTTTTTTCTCCTAAATCCCCAACTTTGCCCTGTTTATTTTCAGACTTCCAATCCGTAATCTAAGAAATAAAAAAAGAACCTTATCTGCCTTCCTCAAATGAGGAAGAGTTAAACAGTGCTATTGACAAGTACAAATAAATAAGCAATATAATTCAATGAATTAATTAACTATCTACAAGGGTGGGATTTTCCTTACTTGTGTGCAATATACTCACAAAATAAAATACTTAGTAAAAAGAAAAACAAAACAAAACAAAACAGCCGAGGCTGTGAAATGAAAAATACCTTATCTGCTCTTTACCTTGGATAGCAGCTATCAAGGCTGCTTTACTATTTACAGATCCATGTTCATTCCTCATAGCTCAGTCTCCCAGGAGTGACATTTTTCACAGCTGAACCAGGGAAGAACTGCTGCTAAGTCTCACCAGCCCATGCAAAGGAAAAGCTTCTTGCATAGGCTGGGAAGAGAAAGAAGAGCTCATTTCAAGTGTGTGGTTGCTGCCTCTTCCTTCTTTTCTGGGAAGAGCTGGAATCGTGCTCTTTATGCAGCCACAGGTGGGGTGAAAAACAGAGGGAACTGGGCCAGACCTGGACTTGGGGAACCACTGCAACTTTGCCTGTCATTTTTAATACTTTTCTTATGCTTTGCTTAAATTTCAACATGTATAATTATAGCCAACAGCAGGCAGATGGCTGCTTCTTTTAGGAACAGCACCCTGAACAGGTAAGCTAGAGAAAAACCTGTTATTGGGTGCTTGTTGTGAAAACACAAAGCCAAGGAAATTCCAGAGGTGAGGTAAAACATAACCAGCGACCAGTTCTAAACCAGCAGGAACCACTTAGAGCCATCCACAAGAGCTGCATTCCCACTGACCTGCATCCAGCAGCTCTCACCTCTAAATCCCAGGGCTGCCTAGTGAGTTTAAAAACACAGCTACAAAGCTCCCCATGTGTCAGCATCCCATAACCATCCCCCTGATATCTGGATAAATCCTGGTGCTTGGCAGTTGCTTTGCTGGAGGCATTTTACACACAACGCCTGGGCTGTGCGACCTCTGCATCCCGCGGTGGTACCCGCCTGGCCAGGCTGCTCTGGCAGGTGCTGCCCTCTGAGAGCTCGCAGCTCCCGTGATACATTTATTTACTTCTTTCCTTCCCGTGGTTCTCTTACCTAGTTGGGCGGCCCCCTCTGCCGGGTACTCGGGGAACTGGCCCTCCGAGGGGACGCTGACCGTGCGGCGCAGACAGCGCCCGCGGGAGGCATCCTGCGGCTCCTGGATCCCTTCTGCAGGCACCTGCGGAAAAACCAACAGCTGTGAACTCGGCACCAGCCCACCCTGTTAATATGCCATCTTGATAGGGGACTGTCACTGCCAAGTTTTCTGAAAAATCCTCTTTGCCCAGGATTTCTTCTCCTGGGAAGCTGAGAAGCCTCAGAGAAGAATAAAAACAATAATTATCTGCTTGCTTCTCCTGTGTTTTGCTGCTTTGGAATGTGATCTGGAGACTGTTTATCCAACAGGTGGTTGTTTGATTGGTTTTATGTGAATTGTTTTGACTTAATGACCAATCACTGTCCAGCTGTGTCAGGACTCGGAAGCAGTCATGAGTTTTCATTATCATTCTTTTATAACCTTCTGTCTGTATCCTTTCTCTATTCTTTAGTATAGTTTCAGTACAGTATATAGAATCAAATTCTGAATTCCTCCTTCATCCTGGGAACCCTGAAAATACCACAGGGGACTTAATTTTCTCCTCATCTGCTAATAGCTCTCAGGCATAGTGTGGCATTTGTGGCCTTAAGACAAAATTCCAGAGGTTCCCTGGGAAAGTGTGGTGGCAGAGGGCACACTCAGCCCAGCGATGGCCACGAGCAGGTGCCAGCATCCTCTGACCCCAACTACCAAAGTCCTCCTGCCTTTCCAAACTGCTTCCCCAGTGCCAGACCACGGCTGCTTCCAGAGGCTGCTGCTCAGATGGCTCCAGGCAAAACTTGGAGAAAATAAAACTTGTGCCAGCTACCTGGTGCACACAGGCACTGCACAGGCACTCCCAGGCTGCAGGGAGCCTCACCCCGAGCAGCAAACTCAAGGCTATGGCCCAGCAGGTCCTGCCATGCTCAGGTGGTAACTGAGCTCAGGATTGGAGAACCACTGGTTCACCAATTGGTGAATTTGTGCTTCACCACCATTGGTGAATTTGTGGTTGCTCCAACCCAGAGAGACCTGCAGCCACCTGCAGCACGCAGGCAACGGCGCCACTCGGTGCTGGCCACCATACCCTCTGTTGGTTGCCACCACACCTTCTGGTGCTTGTTTCCATGCCTGGAACCTATGGCTGGGCAGGGCTCTCCCCTGAACCTTCCACAGCTGGAAGGAACCTCAGGGATGAGGGAGATTCAGCACCAAGGGGCTGTGGGGAGGCACAAAACATCTGAGTGTACTTTTGATGAGGGCTCTGGTTCCAGCAGTACATGTAGCATGGCACTTTATTTTCATGTGGCTAGATCACACACAGCTGGCACCTAAAGAAATAGAAGCCCCTGTCCTATTTCCTGTGCTGCTTCTCCTTTCATATCTTCCATCAATTCTGAAAAATGAGTATTAATAGCAAACAAAAAGCTATCATTCATTTGCACTGAAGGTTGTAAAAGACCTCAGAGATACTGCATTTTTTAGGCTGGACACTACAATGGCTCTGAAAACCATTTCTGGCATTTCCTGATTTCTAAGCACTTAACATTCTCTTAAGGTCATTTTTTAATGCTATTTATTACTATCCCAGTCTGTTTGTCTCCAAACAGTGCCCATTTTTGAAAACAAGTTTCCCAAACTCCTGGTGCTTATTCTGATCAGACTAATCTCTCCTCTGGTGATTTTTACAGCTGTATAAGCTCTGTGCAAAAGCACATTGGCAAGTTAACCAGAGACTAATTTTGTTAGTTTATGCCACATTTGTTCAATCAAATTCAGGTATTAAATTTTTGGTTCTCATCTGGAGGCTCCATTTAGTCTTACTCCCTTCTAAACATTCTCCTGATCCTCTGCCTCTCCTGATTTTCCTGATTTTCTTCAGAGAATTTTTTGGTGGGATGCTGCGAGCCAGATTTCCAGATCAGCTATCCCCAGTCACACCCCACACCTGCTTCAGCAGCCCGTAAAGCCCTGCCCCATTCCTGTCACAGTGAACTCACTGCACCTACACCCACCTGCTTGCTCTAGACCAATACAGCTACTGCAGCATTTATTTCCCCACTAAAGTAACTCAAAAAAGATCCCCTTAAGTCTGACTTGAAAATGCTTTGTTATTTACAGTAAAACTCCTCCATTTATGTTGACAAAAAGAACCAACATAGTCTCCATTTATATTGACAAAAAGAACCAACTCCAAGACTGCAGGACCAGTATTTATTGCTTAGCATGAGACCAGCTTGCTCTAAAAAAAAAAAAATATAGATTTGTGAACATGTAAAATGACCTTGGCTCAGCAGCTCTGCATCCCTTGGGACTGGACACATTTTAAACAGTTTTATAAAGTGTTCTGTGCTCAGACAAATGGATTCATGGATGGGGAGACACCAAGCCACAAGGAAGTGCACAAATAAATACCATGTGAAAACCAAGGTAGACATCTGCCACCTTCCCAACACTCCTGTAGTCCCTGCCATTCCAGCAAGCACTTCAGCAAAGGATTGAAGGGAATGACACAGCCTTGAAGAGTCAGGATTCTAATGGTGATTCAGTCTTTCAGCTCCTTTTTTTCCCCCATCCAGCTTTATCCTCTTCTTTCCCTGCCGAGACTTCACCACCCTGGGAATTCTCTGAGCCTGAGCTGACATGCTGAAGCTGCTGGTTCAGGACTGGGGTCTGAGCAGTGTTAACTCTGAGAAAAAGGCACACAGGGACAGTCCTGATGCTGAGCATTTCAGCAACCTTAACAATTTTCATCACAGGTCATGTTTTCATGGAAATTTCACAATTTAACGAGGATGGGTTCAGAGCTCAGACTCTAAATCCGTGAACACCATCCCAGCTCACCTGCCACTGAACATACTTTTTAAGTATAAAAAGTCTGTATTGGGGATTTCTAACAGTTTGATGATGAGGAGATTTCAGAAGAAATAGGAGCAAGAGCTTTCCAAGCATTAATGCCTCTTATAGGCAAACTAAGATAGTCTCTTTTTAAAAAAGCAGATTAAAAAAATGTCTTCATTGCAGGTAACATTTTTCCAGATTGGAAAGAGTGGTTCAAGACAAACTTGAGAATTTGCAGACTCTTCTGATTTAACAGTCAGCAAGTTTGGAATCATGTCAAAACCATTAAATAATGCATTTTAATTTCTACCTTCCTTCAGAAAGTTTGAAGCTAGCTAAAATTCTGACATGGAAATCCACTTTAAAAATGTTGACAGCAAACATTTCTCTGGGCTTTTGGAAATTAAATCATTAAATTTGCTTGGGAATTAAGGCAAATCTTACCTTATGGCTGGGTTCAGCCTTGACAAACTCTTATTTACAGGTGAAACATGTTTGCTGTAAGACCCCCAACCTGACAAATCCTTTGAGGAGGGCAGTGAGATCTGGGAAGAGCTTCCCCATGGGCCCCAAGCAGCAGTGTTTGCTCCCTTGGGATCACCACTGTCACACCACTACTGGTGTCAGTCACAGGAGATGGAAGAGTAGGAAAATACCTCCCAGGTGTGCTGCTGCTGCTGGCCTCTGTCACCAGCACCAGTGAGCAGCAGATCTTGTCACTGTGCATGTAGGTCTTTGCTATCCTTTGCCCTTGATTAAAACCATCTCTAAATCCAAGAAGAAAGATGAGGTTTGGGTGCAGGGAAGGGAAAAAGGAGAGTCTAACACAGTGAAAAGTGTTGTTCATCTTCATTTCCAAGTGAACACAAGACAAACATTTTGCAGGACTGCAGCCAAGTTGCTGACAAAGCCCAGCTGAAAAGCAGCCCAGAGCCAGGTGCAGCCATTTGTCACATGCCTCCAAGTGGAAGTGCTGTGCACAGGGTTGTGTGTCTGGAACCACTCTTCATGAACACTCATTCCCTTTCCTTGTTTCCAATGGCTCTGATTTTACAGACGTGCCTACTTGTTGGTACCCAAGAAATTCCCTGGCTGCCCTGGAGGACTCGAGTCCCTACCTAGGGGGCTAAGAGACCCCTGTGCCTTTCATTTAGCACTTGGAAAAAACAATTACCAACCTTATATGAAGAATAAAAGCCACAAAAGTTTAAATAGAATGATAGTGAATTTATCACAGGGTGAAAAATAGATTTTTGGGGTTTTTAGCATGGGGGTTCAGGGGACAAGAGGGAGGAATCTGGGTGTGTTCTGTCTTTCTCCTTCTTCTTGGCCTCCATCTTCTGCTGTGATGTTGGCACTTTCAGATTGGTTTAGAGTAGAAGCTCACTGTCTAACATAGGTGATAGGTATTGGAAAGTAATTGTAAATATTGTACACGTGGTTTTTGTATAAAAAGATAACACTGCCCCGGGGGCAGGCAGAGTGCCTCTGTCTGACCTGCTGAATGGACCTTGGCTGGACAGGAGAAAAAATTTTATAGATAAGGAACAATAAACAACCTTGAGAACAAGAACTGAAGAGCTCTGACTCCTTCTTCGAGCGCCAGGCTGGGAAAAGAGACTTTGTGACACATCTTGGGGTCACTGTGAGCAGCAGAGAACCTGAGACCTGCTGTGCCCTCACAGACCCTCCCACCTGATGGAACAGGTTTCCCAGAGCAGATGACAACATCTACACCTTCCTGACAGGGAAAACTCTTCCTTGTAGAAGAAATACCTGATTTGTATGGGCATCAATCTAGGCCTGTTTTCCTTGTCTTGGAAAATGCTGTTAAATATTATCACACTGTGTAATAATTGCACACCTCCTGTCACTCAGGACTCCTTATTTGCTAACTCATCTCCCACGCTCCTAGAGGGATTAATTTTCATTCTACTTACATTTTAGGCATTGAACTCTTCCTTTCATTAATAATTTTCATTCTTCAGTCTCACCTATTCTCACTTTATAAAGTTGACAAGGTGTCAAGTAATTAATGTTTTTCTACACTACACAAGGTGATACTGCCAGACTATTTTTGTCTAAGTAATTACAGATATTTTTGGATCAAGTTGCACTTCAAAAGGCCTCTGATTTTCAACCTACTCTTGCACAGCACAAAATTTCTTTTGCATATTCTTCATTCAAACTGCCTTGACAATAAATCCATAGTGGTAGGACACTATGAGAAATGAGTTTTCTCTACTACAATGTTTATTTCTGTAGTGTTCCCTTGGTCTTAAAAATCTGCTGTATTTTTTGCAGGACTAACTGGAAAAACCCCGAATTTAGCATTATAACTGAAACAGTGGAGAATTCTTCCATTTACCTGCTTACATTTTGTATATATTTTTCACTTTCTGACTTGGACACACATGCCTGAGGAAGGATTTTACAAAGCAGTATAAACACACATTTCTGTTCCCTTCCAGACTCACATGGGCCAAGCTTCTTGGATTTCATTCCATGAAGTAACAAAGCAGATGGACAGAGAATAAAATGAGAGGTTTCAGACTTACACCTTTGAAGTTATGTCAGCCTTGTGATGATGCAAGTGCTCCTAACGCCTTAAGTTTGAGCTTTCATATTTTCCAGATTCTGTACTGCATTGATATATAACTCTGAACTTCATATAAAAAGTCTTAGCAAGTTCTCTTCACAGTTTATTTAGACAAAACAATCCTTTTCCAGCCCCAGAACCAAGGACACCACTGCAGCTTCAGGCCCAAAAAGTTTAAAGAACAAGGAATTGAGGAGAGCAATCTGGGAGGATGGGACTGCATCACCTGGAGCTGGAATTGGACAATCAACCCCAATATGGAAATGGACCAAAACTTATAAAAGTGTGAAAACTCATGACCCATCTTGGGTGTAGCCTCAGCCAGGCTCTTGTGCTGCCCAAGGGATATCCTGTGAAGGCCTTTTTAATAAATACCTATTTTATTCCATAACACTGCCCAGCCTCTGTTCCAGGCAGCCTCTCAAGGCATCCATCACTCCCTCTGGGCTGCAAGGGCACTCTGCTCTTGCCATCTCTTCCTTCTTCCCCCACTGGTGGGTGTCCCTCTGTCCTGAACATGGTTTCTAAGATTCTCCTCAGCAGACTGTGTTCAGAGCAGGAATCTCTCCTGCTTCTGTTCCCTATTGCCTGGTTTGAGTCAACCAAACACTTCCTCCAGCATCACCTTTCCAATAATTTTACTCTGAACATAATCCTCATTTTTTTCTTAAAGTATCCTCCCTCTTCTTTGTTCACCTGGTCTTTGCTTAGGCTCCCTGCACCAGTGGTCCCACCCAGGATCCTTTTATGATTCCCCTTATACAGACTTTTCCATCATCATGCTGTTAACAAGCATCTCACCCCACTGCTGCCTTAGGCCTTTGTGCACTCCTGTTTCTAGATCACATTTCATGGAGCCTCTTTCAACTCTGAATGACTTGCCAAGAAAAATTTAACTGCATTGCCTCCCCTCGCCTTTCTCAGGAAGGCTGCAAAGGGATACTCCTAGTTCAGAAAAATTAGAAGAAAGTGTAAATCCAGAGCACCAGCCCTGTGTCTCTCTCCTGACTGGCAGCTCTACATGTTGTGTGTTTCTGTAAGGGACTGTGTGTCCAACTCAGAAGCCAGACTAAACCAACCTCTGATTTTCCTACTGAACACTCATGGCTCTGCAAGGAGTTCCCTTTTTCCTTTCATTTCACAGTAGCCACAAATTACTTGAAAATCAGAATGGCAAATCTGACTCCAGCTACAGGCTTCTGAAACAAATCCCATTATCAGCATGTGGAGTCACACCTGCACCAAAGGCATGTCTGCTTGGCCCATCTGCATGCAGCATTTCCCAAAATAAGATATTTCTCATTGTGGTAGTGCAGGAAGATTCCTTTGAAAGAGCACTGCGAGAATTTACACTACTGCTTGCTTTTTTGGGGCTTATTGCTACTCTTAAACCTCAGGTCCTCTATAGCCTATCTTGAATTTCCTCAGCTTCTGACAAAAACCAGTGTATTTAACCATAGAATATAATGTGATACATTGGACTTCCCACAATTACTCCTCAGGATCTAGTCAAAGGACTCATCTTACCCCCCAGCAAAATGCTTTCAGCTGTCTGTGGTAGGGGAAATAAGAGCCCTAAATGCATGATTATCACTTTCAGGTAGCTATTTGTGATATGAACCAGTGTTGTTTCAATTACAATTCTTAATGAGATGCATCCTTTTGGTCCAGCCATGCTGGAACAGCACTGTTTTAGAAATGATTCTCACATCTCCTTAAGTTTCTTCAGTGTACACTTCAATTCCTCGGGTGTCGGTCCTGTCAGACTAGAAAAGGAATTACATAGTAAATAAATACCATTAAATGGGCCTTCCATTTTGCCTGCTTTTGATCACCTCTCCCACACATCAGCATTAATGCTGTTCCCTTCTAATAACTCAAGTCCTTCTCTAAACCATTTCCTCCCACTCTCCCTATGCAAGGCAATATTTCATTGCAAATAAACCTGAGCACAGCTGACTAATATTTTGTTCCACACCAGAAACAGGTCTCACTGTCAGGCTGTAACAGCCATACAAAAAAGCTTGAAAAGAATCAAGAAAAAAACACAAAAATTGGGGTCATCCATAGGAAACTATGGCATTAGACTAAAAGTCATGGATAAAAAGCCTTCACTTTTCTCTACCTTTATGCCTGCACTGCCATACAGAGGCAGCTTTACACACCTGTGGTGGCTTTAACCACCATTAAAAGAAGTGGTAACACAGGAAGACACAGTGGCAGACAAACACAGGCTGCAGAACTCCAGGAGGGGGTTTGCACTTTGGCTGCTGTCACCTCTTCTGTGCCACCAGCGCCTGGGCCAGCTGCATTATAACCCCACTCACACACAGGAGAGCTTAGCTCCCCTTTTCATAGAATGGGAAGGGCCTGGAAGGGACCTTGAAGATCACCTGTTCCAACCCCCTGCCATGGGCAGGGACACCTCCCACTAAACCAGGTTGCTCAAGGCCTTATCCAACTTGGCCTTGAACACCTACAAGGATGGGGCATTCGCAACCTCCCTGGGCAGCCTGTTCCAGTGTCTCATCCCTCTGGCAGTAAAGAATTTCTTTTTAAATTCTCTTTTCCCCATTGCATGTGTTTCAAAGGATTTGTGAGTGAAGTAAAGGGGAGAAGAAGAAAGCTGCCTTCTCCTTTTACCAATAAAGGCTGATGCCTTCTGAAGGCTGACCTAGAGCAAAGACTAGACAGAGCTAAAGAATAAAGTAGGGATTTATTAAGAGGCCTCAATGGATCCACCTTGGGCAGCACAACCCAAAATGGCCACAAAATGGACAACTGGTCCCAGGTCGTCCATTTAAACTTATAAAACTTTGATAAGTTCTGGTCCATTTGCATATTGGAGCTAATTGTCTATTTACAGCTCCAGCCCATGAAGTCTCATCCCTTTTGTTTTTCTCTCTTCAGCCCATGTTGTTTGTGCTCTAGGGCCCTGAAATTTGGATCATTTGTCCTTGGTGCCCAGTGAGAGCAGGAATTGTTTTGTCTCCCTGCTCTGTGCAGAACTCACCATCCCCTCATATGAAGCCCAGACCCACACACTAAACAGAATCTGAAAAATACAAAAGCCAAAACCAGAGGCATCATTTCCCCCCTGTTCCCAAAGGGCCCCAAAGTGATCTTGTCTCACCTCCTTCTCCCTGTTGAGCAGCACCAGCTGGCTGTCTGTCAGGATGCAGTATTTCCTCTCCCATGTTGTCATCTCAGTGTAGGGGGACTGGCCACAGGACAGTCTGTGGGTGGGTGGTCCTTTCACATCTGGGAACAGAAAACCACCACCTTGTTAGCACGTGGCATTAACACCTTCTTTGCTTTCACAGCTCTGCAGTGAGATCTGAACCAAAAGCTGCACTCTGTGCTGAGTGGGGCCTGTTTCAGCATTTTAAAAGGTGAAATGGGAATCCTGGGAGGCACCCATGTGCTACTAATATTTATTTACTTATAGCATGACTTACAAAAATAGCAATACCAGGGATGAATATGAACGTCTTTGTCAAAGGCTGAAATATATTGAAAAGACCAAGAGCTCTTATGAAAACTTAATCTTCCTTCCACTCCCTTCTCAAAACCATGGTTCAAAGGAGTACAGCCCTGAATGTACTCTAAATCTTAATAAAGTGGATTATTTGAGACTAAGGATAGAGAGATATAGGAAGGAAGACAGGGATCAAGGAAGGCATGATTGAAGAAGGGAAGGAAAAATTCAAAGGGATGAGCATTTAATCGAGAAGGGCTTACTAGCACCTTTTGGCAGGGAACTACTTGATGAAATTGTGCATTTTCATTTAGCCACGGACACTATAGTGACAAAAACTCATACTTGAAAAAAACCCCAAACACCACAAACCAAACCATAACCCAACTTGTTTGGTTCCCAGTCCTGATCTATTAAAATTTATTTTAAAATCTATTTCCCATAAGTTTCTCATGATTGAGCTGCACATGATATTGTGCCTGTCACTACTAACAAGGTCCCTTCCAACCCAAACCCTTCTGGGATTCTATGATTCATCTCTTTACAAAGTTTTGATATAAAGTTCTGATTGCTTTATAAGATTAGGCTTCATTTTTATTTCACACTCTAGTTCTATACAATTTACTTGCGATGATCTAAAAATCATCCATTCCCAATAGATGTAGATCCCTCAGGTCCCAAGGGTCTAAAACAAACACTGCAAAAATCAAGGGACTTCCTGCACAGGAGCCCAGGACGTCCTTTAACTGTTTGAGGAGCAAAGTGAGCGTTCAAACCCGAAATGTTTTGCAGCACCACCTGCCTTTTAGCACACCCAGCAGCACGCACAGCCAGAACACGGCTGCTTCTCGTAGCTTCTCCCCAGCGTCACCACTAGAGGCCAGCGAATCCTCAATCACCCAGCACCTTCCAGGGACAGCCAGTCCAAAGGCCAGCGTTAAACCTGGCCTCAGGAACCCCCCCAACTCACTTCTCTCCTTGCAGACCCTGCTTGTGCCCCCTCTTCATCAAAAACGCTGCAGCATCTTCATGCTCTCCTCCTGCAGCTCTGCCTCTGCACTGCGAGGGATGTGTCAGACTTGGGAGATGCCTTTCAGTGCCTTGCTCAACCTCACATTGCATCAGGATTTTGTGATCATTCAGGAAAGTGCTTGGAACAGGCAACCTTTAAGCAAGAAAAAGGAGAGGGCTGCATGGCTCCTGCTGCTCTGAATAACAAAGAACGGCACCTTTGTGCCCTTAATGTCAGGTAAAATCATTCAGGGAAGAAGCTGAGATGAAGACTCAGATGACACACTGTTACTTCTGATACAACTCAGTTTGTGAGAGTGACAACAAATACTGTGTGGCTCAAAATTGTCCAAAACTCTATTTAAGCATAAAGATAATGAAGAGAAATCACCATAAGCTCTGTGAAGCAAAAGTGTATTTGTGCAAACCCCTGGAGCACAACAGACTCGCCCACAAGTTATGTATTAGTCCATTTTACAGACATGAGCCCTCCAGGTAGATTTTTGGCATAACTGCAACTCACATTTATCATGGTGTCCAACCAAAAACCAAACCAGATGTAAAACAAAACCACTGCTGCTCCTGCTTTGACCTTGGCTTCCCAAGCAGCACATGAGCCTTACCCCTTCCTAGCATGACAAACCTGACAGAGAGTAGAGGAGAAGGATGAAGCCATGAGCTCCTGGTATAAGAGTGCAACAGAAATGGGAAGATGAGAGCTTTGGGGATCTGGTCTCCTGGGTAAGAAAAGCACATGATAAATCTGCAGAGGGAGAACAGGATGAAGGCATGTGTGCCCTGTCCTGCTGATGTGGGTGGGCTGGCAGTGAGAGTGCAGCCAGCTGCTGCACTGAGCACTAACCAAGGAACTGCATTTGGAACTGCTGGTAAACTTTGTGATGGCAAAAGAAAACCCTCCTGGGCCATCAGCTCCAACGCAGAATTTACAGTCACGACTTGCCCAGCCCCAAAAGATCTTTGTGTTATAATTTCTTCTAACTACAGGCCTTGGCAGGATACCATCCAACAGATCCATGGGCTGCACAAAAGGAATTAAAGAACAGAACGACTTCTTCCACTGCAATAACAACTCCAGGACTTAACTGAGTCATCAGGCACTGTGAGCCAGCCATGGCTGTGTTGCCAAGTGGGTTGGCTACGTCAGAACAGCTTTCCACAGGCTGCTGGCAGAGTGACATGCCATGCCATGCTGTGTCTGGAGCTGTCAGTCACCCCTAGGGAACACCACAGTGGTACCATTTTGTGTTTGCATTGGGGTCCTTTTGAACACAAGTTGGGGCACAGCCCAGCACCCCTGCAAGCCTCTCTTCAGCAAGCTGTTTTTCCAGAGCATGGGACACCATAACTTCAGTCTGATGCTGTGAGCACATTGCAAACTCCACGGATGTGGAAGCATTTCTGCAGAGACAAGAAAGAGCCACAGGAAGGGAGCAGGTGATGAGATAGCGCCCACAACAAGCTCCAGATGAACAACTGAAACCAAACAGGCTGCCTTTCCTTGCAGCCTGAACTACATCATGCAGGCTGTCTCTTTTAGAATCTTTCACCTTTGGCTTTATTTCCAGAAAGCAGGTATTTTTATTGTCACTGATGTCACCCTATAAACTTCATTTCCCAGAAAACTCACAGCAATGAGGACCCCAGTGTAGCTTTGGTGCCTCAGTCCCACCTATTTAAATTATTTCTCGGCTCTCCCTCCTGCATGGCTGATATCTTTGGAGCCTCTCACAACAGCTGTGACTTCAAAATTTATTCTGAAGTATGTTACCAGTTTAGACAGAAGACTCTTTGGGACTTTGCACAGTATCACATACACGCTTGGTCGCCTCACAAACCCTGTTCTGCTTTCCGGTGCTCTTCATCTTCGGTTTTCATTTTATGTTCTTGGCTCCAGCTTTTCACGTGAATGTAATAAAACCCACCGACCTCTTCCACTAAAGCCCCATAAAACTAATTAAGCACCATGCTTTGGATCACTACAGAAGTGAATTGCAAGAAGTCCATGTGTAACGAGGAGCACTGAAACTTTTGGGAAAGACTGCAGGTCAGGATTGTCCTTTTTAACGCTCTGTCAGCTCATACAGCAAGGCTTGAGCTTTGGAGATGAATGATCACTCACTGATGAATGCAATGATCACTCCTTCAGACAGGAGCTAGAGAAGAGATCAGGGAGGTGCATCTGAAAGCTCTGAGTTTGCAGATGTTACGTGTGGGATGGGCTCATGCAGCCACACACCTAAATAGGCAAGTTCTGGTGACAGAAGATTTCTCTGGGTCTGATGCAATCCCTTCATTCTGCAGCACTACAATGAGGCATTCAAGTAAGCAGATCAGCAAGTCTACACATAGGATTAAAGGTCAGGCCTTATGTGCCTTCAAATGCTAATATCAGTTAAGTAACAGCTTGGAAAAAATCCCTTTTTTGGTACATCCCTGCCGCTGCCTCCTGCCACATCCGACATCGCTGAAGACTGGAAACTGTGTTGTTTTTCCTCAGGGCTCTGAAATGCCACTAGCCATGATATAAATACCCACAAAGCTCCCTTTCTTTCAGTCAGATGACAACTTGTACCTTATTATTCTTGAAGTACAGGGCTTATTTTTAAAGAAGGGGAAAAATAGAGGGGCAGTGATTCCATAATCACATATCAACAGCAGAAGTGTTGAGTGGTGCAGGGCAAGGAAACGTGGAAAGCAGCAGCAGCCAGTGCCAAGCTAATCCCCACAGACAGGGAAAGACATCCCAGGAAAATGATGGCAGTTTAGTAGTATTTATGGAGCAGAGCAGTCCTATCAGATGGGAACATTTCTGAAAACTTCCATTGCAAACATGCAACAATTATTTTCCTTAAAATTCCAAATGTGTTCATGAGCGGAGAATATTTTCCAAAAAGCAGGCAATGGGCAGAATCAGAAAATTATTTCCCAGAGATAATGGGTGCTTCAGTGTCATTAAGTCCCCAACAGCTCTCCTACAACCAGAAAAGCAGTGAAAAGAACAGAATTACCAGAAACCAAGCCAACAAAACTACATTAAAGGCAAATTCATGCCTTCAGTCTCTGCCAAAAAGCACTCTCTACTTACCATCAATAAAAACACAGAAATAACCCTCCATCCCAGTGATGACAAGAGCACCCCTGGCACGCCTCAGAGCTCCTTTTTCTGAACTGCACTATTCCTATGGTGAAATCAAGGGCTAACTGAAGTACTTGCCAAATTTTCCTCCACTTTATTAGGGTCCATATTCTGTTCCTAGTATTTCCAGCAAGGAGCTGCCAAGCAGCTGAGTAACTAATGTGGTGGCCAAGTTTGTATGCTGGGAGGAATTTTTTTCCCCTGAAGAGAGATTAGTAGGAGCCCTAACACCTTTTGACAACAGGTCTGCTTGCCCAATGTCAATGTTTCCACAATGTTTTATGTACTTGCCATAGAGACAGGATGAGAGAAAAGCATTTTAGGTAAGTGCTGTCATCTGAGAGCTTGTCAGAACCCCAACCTACCCAGCTGTGCATGACCACACAGTCCAGTTTGAATAACCATCAGTTCCAACCTTAATAAAGCAGGTTGAAACAAGCCTTACTACTGACAGGAAGCTTCAAAGATAAGTAAGAACCACAAGTCCTTCCACTGAACTTCCACCATCTCAAAGCTCATGAAGGGATTCAAGTACAAGATGTGGCAGAAAAGGAAATACACAGTGTCTCAACATGCTCCATTCCCTCAAATCTTGGAACAAGGCAGGATTTCTGC